TTGTCAGGCATTGGAACAGGCTGCCCAGGGAAGTGGTTGAGTCACCATCCCTGGAGGTATTTGGGACATGGTTTAGTGGTGGACTTGGCAGTGTTAGGTTACCAGTTGGACTCAATGATCTTAAGGGTCTTTTCCAACCTAAACAATTCTATGATTCTAAGTACACACTCTAAGTAAAAATTGCAAAAAATCCAAATCTGTGAATCCTGGGATTATACACAAGGACAGGCAGAGATGGAAACGCTAACAGGGATGGGGCCAAAGCCATACTTACTTGGCAACCATAACAAGTATTACGATTTTAAGATTTACAACTTGGTTGTTTCCCAAGTTAGCAGCAAACAAGGTAGAAGCAGGTAGAATATTTTGCATCTCTAAATTTGGTCTTCCCTTTCTTTAATATAAAAGTACTATTAAAAGAAAGCTATGGAAATACCATTATTTTCAAGTTGCACATTGGAAGTATAAAATACTTTTCTGAGACTACATCATGGCCAGAATCATCAACTACCTTCTGGTAGAAATCTGGATTTTAATTTTTTTTTTAAATCATCTATGTGTCAGAAAGCCACCTACTAGCTTAACTTGCATTTCACTGCCAGAAAACAAACAGATACAATAAATAACGTTTAACTTCCATACTTTTTTTGAGAAACCTAGCCACTGGGATGGAAATCTCTTACTATTGCTGCTTAAATCTGAATCGGCCAAATCTCAAATTTAACAGTGAAAACTTTCTGCAGTCAAAAGAAAAGGCTGAGTATTCTGATATTGCTCAAGGGGTACATAAATATAATTTTGGGGCCTTTCCTTTGCCTTCTCTTGCAAACTCTATTTCCTGTTCTCCCTGTATTTGGCATTTAAAGATGAAGTTAACTGTATCCGCAAGCACAAGAGTGAATGAATCAGACATGGAAAGAATGGAAACATTATTTTAATTAGGTGTAAAACATCATTTCAATAAGGACAACTAGTACAAGCAGGTGATCAGAATTGCTTGTTACTGGCCTCAGGTCTTCAATATAATTTATGGATTTTTTTTTTTTTTTTATATATTATTGTTACTTATTACGTGATACTGGCTTAATGGGGCTAGATCAGGCTTTTAAAATTATAGCTGTGCCAACACAAAAGAATTGCTTCAAAAACATCTGGATGGGATGATTTGCTTTTTAATTACTCAGCAAGCACATCAAGAGCAGTTTCAACAGTCAGAAAAATATTTAAAAACACTGATGTTTTAGTATGACCTATAGTGTCATCCTATGACAGGAAACTGAAATAATAGTATTGGAAGACATTTAGACTTTTAAATACATTTTTTCATCTAGAACTTAGGAAACATCTGTAAAGGTAGCTATAATTATTTTTTCTTTATTTGCAGTATCAGGATGACTCAATTAGTAGCAAGCATCAGATTTACTTATTACAAAGGGCACTGCTAATACAAAAGGATTAATTTGAATTTTGCTTTCTTTTTTTAATTCAGTAATTTCGGTAAGCCTCAAAATCATAGAATCATAGAATAGTTTGGGTTGGAAGGGACCTCTAAAGGTCACCTAGTCCACCCCCCCTGCCGTGGGCAGGGACATCTTCAACTAGATCAGGTTGCTCAGAGCCCCGTCCAGCCTGTTTCCAGGGATGGGGCATCCACCACCTCTCTGGGCAACCTGTGCCAGTGCTTCACCACCCTCAGCGTAAAAAATTTCTTCCTTCTATCTAGTCTAAATCTACCCCCCTTTAGTTTAAAGCCATTCCCCCTTGTCCTGTCGCAACAGGCCCTGCTAAAAAGTTTGCCGCCATCTT